CAACTCAAAAGAGACTCACAGTACTAAATATAAGAATTAAAACAAGAGAAATTGCAGAAGAAAATAGACAGCTGTATCTTTATGATCCTGGGGTAGGCAATCCTTTCTCAGAAGGATACCAAAAGCACAAGTAATTTTAAAAACTTCTTTAATTGGACTTCATCAGTATTATAAACTTCTGCACTTAAGATGACAAAATCAAGTGAGTAAAAAGACAACACACAGACTGAGAGAAAATACTGTCGATCAGATATCTATAAAGGGTTTTATCTAGAATATACGAGGAACTTTTACAACTCAGTAATAGAAAAGTACAACTTTTAAAATGGGTACACAATTTGAATAGATATTTCTCCAAAGATATATAAAGGGCCAGGATGCATATCAAAGAAGCTTAACATCACTGGTCATTAGGAAAATGCAAATCAAAACCAAGATGAGCTACCACATCTCATCCACTAGAATGGCTATGGTGAAAAGGATAATAAAATGTGCTGTCGAGTATGCACAGAAAATGAGTATTCATTGCAGGTGGAAATGTAAAAAGGTTCAACTACTTTAGAAAAATAGTTTGGCAGGTACTTGTTCAGTTTGGTTTTCTATTTCCTCTTGAGTCATTTCTGATAGCTTCTGGTTTTAAAGGAATTATCTATTTCACCTAAATTTTAAAATTTATTGAAGTTATTTAGAGTACTATCTATGATAAAAATATTTCAGTTGTATCATCGCTATGGATCTGTTTAAATATTATTTGTGGCTTCTCTAATATTACTTTTCATGCTTTTCTTGATCAGTTTTGCTAGAAATATATATTTTTTCAGACTTTCAAAAAAATACTTCAGTTTTTATCTTATTGTTACTTTCTATTTCACCGATTTCTTAATTTTTATTATTTCTCCTACTTTATGTTTTTTATCCTTTCTCTTTGTTTTTTTCTAGGTTCTTTTTTTAAGTAAACTCTATGCCCAACGTGGGACTTGAACTCACACCCCCAAGATCAAGAGTGGCATGCTCTGCTGACTGAGCCGGCCAGGAGCCCTTGTTTTGTTTCTAGGTTCTTAGGGTAAACACAACTCACTCATTTCCACATTTTTTTTGTTACGGTTAACAATGCCAGTCACAGAGTTAATATCCATGTTCTTCTCCTTTAATAACAACTTTGATTTTCACTGAGTAGTAATCTACTCACATCCTTTCAAGTGTCCTTTCAAGAAAAGACAAAGCCATAGCCTCACTCCTGGCTTTAAGCTTTACTCATGATATATTTTAAGTCCTCTTCAGCTCACAGGAGCAAAAAGCCTGCTTCTGGGAAGTAGCTAAGGGTTTTAGCCTAGATTATTTCTATTTTATTACTTGTCCACAAGGATATCTATCTTTCTAGAGACTAGTTATGTCTCTTTGGTTTTCTGTTTGTATATTTTATCTATCACAGCTATATATTTGGTACAGAGAAATTTAAAAAGTGAACTTCTGGAGACATCTTCATTGGAGGTCAGGCTTCTACTCTCTCTAGTCATCCATCCAGCCCCTTTTAGTACTTCACTCTCTATATTACTTAAATCAATATAGCAAAGGGCCTGCAGAGCTCAGTATGCTAAGGCATTAGCAGCGGGGACCTCTGACTGCTTTTAGATGTTTTGTTTTATTTTGTCTCTTCCTTATATACTAACTGAAGGTAAGGCAAGGGAATGCAATGGGAGAGGCTAAAGGGGTACCAAATCAAGAGAGACTTGTGCATGGCAAGCTGAAGACTTTTAACTTTTGTTTAATGGAAAGCTATTGGAACAATTACATCAGATGTATTCATTGTTAGAAAGACCATGATAGTGGCAATAGGAAGGTAGATTATGAGGGAAAACAAGACTGGTGTCCAGCAGAACCAAAAGAAGACTCATGCAAAGATCAGGTGAAAAACAGTAAGTACCAGTGGTGGTAGAAATTCATTTATTCCATCAGTTACTCAGTCATTCAACATATAAGAATTGAAGGTCTGATGTATTCATGGTATTATGCTGGACGTTAGCAGGGACAAAAAAAAAAAGCAAATTCCCTGTTCTCTTTGAACTTAAAGCCTACTAAATGAGAATCAGAAATAGGTTACAGAATCAATGAGAACATTATAAACTGAGAGAAGAGTATGTGTAAGCACCTAAAGCATGAAGTAATTTGTTGACTTCTAATTCAAAGAGAGAGGTGATCGGGTTGGAAGCCCTAAGAGCCAAAAGAATGACAGAAAACAGGCAAGAGAGGCAGGCCTGGGCCAGACCACAGATGGCACCATAGACCATATTCACATTTCAACTTTTATCCTATGAACAGTAAGAAGATACTTAAGGTAAGATTTAAGCCACAGAGTAACATAATTAGATTTAGGGGGTTAGAAAAATATTGTAAAAATCAAAGTGAGATTAAGATTGGTTTGGTCTAGGGGCGCCTGGGTGGTTCAATTGGTTAAGCGTCCGACTTTGGCTCAGGACATGATCTCATGGTTCATGGGTTCAAGCCCTGCATCAGGTTCTGTGCTGACAGCTAGCTCAGAGCCTGGAGCCTGCTTTGGATTCTGTGTCTCCTCTCTCTGACCCTCCCCTGCTCACGCTGCCCCTCTCTCTCTCTCTCTCAGAAATAAATAAAACATTAAAAAAAAAAAAAAAAAGATTGTTTGGTATTGGGGCACCTGGGTGGCTTGGTCAGTTGAGCACCAGACTTTGGTTCAGGTCACAATCTCATGGTTCTTGGGTTCAAAACCTGGGTCGACAGCCTGAAGTCTGCTTGGTATTCTGTCTCCCTCTTTCTCACTGCCCCTCCCCCCATCTCGTGTACATTCTCTCTGTAAATAATAAAATGTTAAAAAAAATTTTTTTTAAAAGATTGGTTTGGTCCTGGCCAAGTTGATAGAAACACTGCAGATTTTACATGTAATGCCTTAAGTTCTTTTAAAAATCTAAGTTAAAATAATTATCAAAATTAACTAATCAAAACAAAATTAGAATAAAAGGTAACAAATTCAGTCAAAAATAGTAAAAATTTAAGCAAAAAGTAACTAAAACAAAAGTGAAACAAAGAAAAGAAATCCTTTTAAGATAAGTAGGTATGGCTTCTCCAGAAAATTAATAATAACAAACAAAACACCCAGCACACAAAGCTTTTTGGTAGCAACTTTAAATTGCATTTATTTCACTGAGCTCAAAGGCAGAATAGAAGTGTGCAAGCAGACCTGGTTGAGCCTATGAAATGGACATGGTAGGGTATTATAAAGAATTTAGTAGTTAGAATGGTGTACTTTCCTAAGAAAGTGGCATTCAAGTACTTAAAAAAAAACATTAAGAAAACTAAAATGGAAACATCAAAGAGTAGTTACTATTTATTTGGAAAATAAGAAAAGTCTGGTACAACTGAGTACAAAAAAAGATTTGTTGCTGCTGCCATAGTCTCTTAAGATTTTGTACGTCACACCTTATTGTTTAAAAAAAAAAAAAAAGATAGGGGGCACCTGGGTGGCTCAGACAGTTAAGCTTCTGGCTTCAGCTCAGGTCATGATCTCAGGGATCCTGAGTTTGAGCCCCACATTGGGCTCTCAGCTCTCAGTGCGCAGCTTGCTTCAGATCCTGTCTCCCTCTTTCTCTGCCCCTCCCCTGTGCACGCCCTCTCTCAATCTCTCTCTCAAAAATAAATATAAAAAAAAAAGATAGTTCTGAAAATTTGTTAATAGTTTTCATGCAGTGTATGGAAAGACAAAATCCAATACGAGTCCACAGAGAATACACTAATCTTTAAAAATATTCTAAATCTTCTATATAAAATTTTAGTTGTGATTCATCTCCCTAATTTATTTTTTATAGTATATTTAAGGAGATTAGCCCAATATTATAAAATTACTTCATCACTTCTAAGGATATGATAGGTCATATTCAATGAATTCACATTTCTTATAAAAAGCCTCAATTAAAATGTTCAAAAATATTTAAGTAACATTCAGAAATATCTTCTAATTGGAACCCACTGTAAGCAATTCTCTCTCTCCATGGTCTTTTTCTAGATTATTAAAAGGTAAAGAAACATTAGTAAGAGTGTTAGTGTGTACATGTAATCACAGATTCCAAGTATGCCTACTGGTCTGTTGTAGTTATAATAACTAAAGTCGGGGGAAAAACCTAAAAGGTTAACCGTACTATGAAGAAACAAAATCAATACCCACTGCCTCTGTGTTTAGGAGGATGAAGAAGAACCCAAATCCTAGAGAAAGTGATATTTAATAGTTTGATCAACTAGATCTCAGATCATGCATTTAAAACCAACTTTATCTGAGTGCAGGCACAGACATGGGAGTAAGAGCTCTGTGCAACTTCATCTAGATGCGTGGAGTATATATTTCACTCTTTCCATAGCGGTCTTGAAACAGGAAGCAAATCAAGCTCCCCTCCCCCACATCGCAGCGAGAGCAGGCTCCATAACAATGGTTCAAAGGAAAGCTCTATTCCGCAGTTGCACTGATTGTTCTGTCAGCTGACCTCTGCAGAAGGGAATTGCTAACCGCTGCCTTGCTCCTTAGCTGACAAATGAATGATCGCAGCTCCATCTATTTTCACTATGGCTGCCTCTAGCCCAGGTGCTCAGACAGAGAGCCCGGTGTGACATCTTAGATCAAGATGAATTGGCACAAACTCCTGATCCGAGATTGTTTTATACCATTTAATTTAGTTTCTTCCCCTGCTTGGATGAGCACAGCTCTGGTTATGGATTTCTATTCTAATGTACTGAAGCAGGCCCTGAAAGAAGCCAATGAAGCAGCTGCTGGAGCAGGGGACTGCAGGGATACTGATCAATAGGCAAGGCATTGACCCCAGCCGTTCAGCCTCTGCAACGGCCACTGCTTGAAGGGGCGGGGGGGGGGGGGGGCCGAAGCGCACATGGGCTGCTTCCAGTAGGAAATTAAACAACAGGGGCATTTGGAGAGCTCCGCCTCTAGCCTTGGGCCCCCACCTTCCCTCTGTTCCTTTTGTTTAATTACCTCAATCTTGTCTAACTCCCACTTCTCAAGAAGGAATTAAGACTTTAGGTAAGTTTTAATAATGAACTTTAAAAGAGCCATTTGTAAATATTATCCTGAAGCTAATAGAAAGAATCATAACAGGTGCTCTATGCTAAGTGGCCAAAATATGAAATCTTAATTAGCTGTCAAGTACGTCACTTGGTGTAATTTAAAGTTCAGCATGTGCACAGGCTCGTAAGAACACTGTCCAACTGATTATTAATACTATTGATGCTGAAATTCTATGGTATCTAAGTTTTATCAGTACCCAGATCTGAACAGATCATAGCTCTTTGTTAACAGAAGAGGAAGAAAAGGGATCCCCTAAAAGAGATACTGACTGATTAGTGATTGTATACAAAGTACAGCTGTCCATCTCTACTGCTATTCCAACAGTCACATACCCCAATTTCTGATTCTTTAATTTTTTGGATGTGGAAACATTTAAAATTACTGGCTTGGTTTTGCGCTTAAATAATACGAGACAACAAGCAATTAGCTGAAATGTTTTCCTATAAGTAAAGCGACAATCAAATAAGAGATTCTGAGATATTAAAAATAAAATAATTCTGTAAAACCAGACCTTTCTACAGTTTCATTTGTCTCATGAAAATTTGGTATTTTTTCACAGAGACATGCCTCCATTTAATCATGCTAACGGGTGACATGGAGATCCATTTTCTTGACAAGACGGTTGATCACCCTATCACGGTAAGAAAATTAATACCTTCGACTGGCCCTGTGTGGAAAACAGAAGCTGCATGCAGTGGTAAAGGACAGAAATGTTCTACATTTTAAGTTGCAAACAGGATACTTATTCTGTGCAAAAATAATAGGTTTCTTCCTTACTGGGTTACTTTAAACAAAATATGAGCCTTTGACTTTATTAAAAACAGCCATTTAATTCATACAGTGCTCCTCAAAAGTACATAATTGTCTTTAGATTTAGCATAATTGACTCTAGATTTACACGAACAGGAGTAAACACTTTACTTACAGCTTAACTAGAACACAGGTAAAATATTTGAGAAGTTTAAGCTATTTAAAGGGCTGTGAGATATTGATTACCTCATTTAAAAAGCAGTCAGAGAGTGCAACCAAGAGGTCAAGATAAATTTACCAGTTTGAAGCACTTTACTAAATAACTCTAAAGATCATGTTAATTGGCTTTGTGTAGTTCCAGGGTAAAATTAATTTTATCCTAGCTTACAATAAAAGGATTAAAAGGCATATTAAGTTCTTCAGTTTTAACTGGAATAGGAATCAATGGATTTGAATTAAGGCTAACAGCGGCTTTATGAGAGATGGACTACCAGAAATACTTTATATCTGCTATTAGCCACCTATTGATGAAGCTCTGTTATTGTATTAGGTATTAAGCCTTAGATAAGAAGGTACTGCCAATTTACCACTCTGAGAATATAGTTTAAGAAATGTGAGAATTGACCTGGAAAAACTATTTCCAAAATTTGATTATTTAGGATCGAGTATCAGAAGGCTTTCCATAGATGACTTGAATATGTTTGATATTTAAAACTCTCGTAAAAATTACTGAAGTAATGTGCTTGAATTCAATCATAATTCACCTCAAGACCATAACTATCCTTAAAACTATATCACAAACATATCTTTAAAGTTTTCTTTAAAACAAAACGTTATATTCAGATTGGTTTAGCACACTAATTTTATGCCAGAAACTTCTGGCACATGATGGAGTCCGAGTGACATTCGCAATGACATCAACGTTTTCTAAATTTGGTATAAATTTCAATATACTCTAAAACGTCCCTTTGGAAATTCAGAAATGCCCATTTATTCATGATAAATGACAACAAAATTTTAAATGTTTTTCTTTACTCTTTCCATATTTAATAAATTTTAGAATTGTATGTATAGAAAAATAAATTGCTTATTACCATATATTGCCTTGGAGAGCAAAAAAAACTGTATTTAGTAAGACTGTATACTAATACATATCTGTGATTTTGCAGGATTCTATTTGAATGATCAGAAAAGAGTATGTTGCAAGATCTCACAGTGGAAAACTAAAGGGAAGCACGTCGAGACTATCTAATATAATAAGTTGGATTAAGCTAGAAAATGGTCTCTATCATGATCCTTACAACTTTGTTTTATTTACCATAAAGCCTATTCACTAATATTGTTTTGATTAATTATTAAAGAACAAAGTAATTTTAATAAGGTGAACTTTATTAATACTGGCAATCTTAAGAACAGAAAAACTCAGAATTAAGACACGATTTACTATTTACCGAGTCTGCACACAGCTGGAATAGTCTTAGCATTTGGATCATTCAAAGCTCTTACAAACATTAGTCAATTAAACTACAAATGATTTCTATTTGAGGACCAGTGAAATATTCTTCCCAATTTTCATTTTTATCTATTTCTCTTTTCTCAATCCCAAGGATACTTTAAATGTGATGTGCCATTATCAACTAATACTATGAAAAACATATATAAAGAGTGTATATTAAGATAAGTTTACAACAGTATGACAGTGAAATATGTCCAATCAAAATATATTTTCATACATATCTAAACATAAACAGAAGTATCTAAAAGAAGCTAGGTCTTCAAAAGCAAGTCAAGTTCAAATTGTTTTTAAGATATACTATAAACAAATTAACTTCAACTTTCTATTATCAAAATTGATAAATGTGGTTGCCTAATGGAATATTAATTTTTTTTTTTTTTTTTTTATTTCTAGGAGAGAGAGAGAGAGCGTGAGCAGGGGAGGGTCAGAGAGAGAGGGAGTCACAGACTCTGAAACAGGCTCCAGGCTCTGAGCTGGCAGTCAGCANAGCTGGAATTCCACCACAGATTCCACTGTCCGCCTGCATCCGCAAAGGTGGGAGTGGCTCCTGCTAAGAGCCATCAGTGAGACAGTAACGTAGAGGCAAGACGACTGGTGTGCCGTCATCTTTTTTTTTTTTTATGTTTTATTTATTTCTAGGAGAGAGAGAGACAGTGTGAGCAGGGGAGGGTCAGAGAGAGAGGGAGTCACAGACTCTGAAACAGGCTCCAGGCTCTGAGCTGGCAGTCAGCACAGAGCCCGACGCGGGGCTCGAACCCACGAACCGCGAGATCGTGACCTGAGCGAAAGTCGGACGCTTAACCGACTAAGCCACCCAGGCGCCCCTGGAATATTAATTTTTAAGATATGCTCTCTTAATTATTATGTGGTGCTAACCAAATATGCTGACTTTACATACACATACACACATTAAGGATATTTACTAATATGGGGGCACCTGGGTAGCTCATTCAGTTAGGCATCTGACTCTTGATTTTGGCTCAGGACATGATTTCACGGTTTGTGGGTTTGAGCCCCACATTAGGCTCTGTGCTGATAGCATGGAGCCTGCTTGGGATTCTGTCTCTCTCCCTTTCTCTCTGCTCCTCCCTCACGCACGCTCTCTCTCTCAAAATGAATATATAAACTTAAAGAATATATAATTATATGCACATATATAATAGTATATAATAGTCTTAGTGTACCAAGACATTAAAATTTAGATCTAAGTGAGATAGAACTGAGTTTTTAAGATTTTAAAATACATCATCCATGTTTTAGACCCTTATGAAGTTTCCACAGTGTGAACTGTTTCCACATATATTTGCCCCAAACATTTTCTAACACTACTTGCTATTCTTAGAGTTAAGACCAATAACTAAAGTACAATGCCATAAAGATGTCAACTTTGTAACCATAATCTTCCAAATAAGCTTTGTTAACAATGGTGGGGGGCGGGGGGTGTTTAATATAAGCAAAACTCTTTTCCTATTAATTCATTTTAGAAATAATTTGTTTTTAAAAGAATTTAAAATGCTAGTCTTCTACTAATTAAATTTCAGGTATACATTATACCCCAATTCTTAGTCAAATACTGTAAAGAAGAGTTTGTTAAATAGGGATACAAAAAGGCACAGATTGGTGACAATCCAATGTGTGAAAAAGGACTCAGACCTCACTCTCCCAGTGGTAAATCCGGGTTTCATAAGCTTATAAGGAGCATTAGTGGGTCTATATTATTGTAAATGTAATTAAGTTCCTTTTCTTCAGCCAAGTGCTTTTGTATGAATATTGCACATTATTTTCATTTGTTGGCACACCTCAGAGCACTGCAAATCCTGCATTATTTATATAATAAGGCACACAAATGTCAATGATATGGAAAAAATTAAAATTGCAGGTGGCTGGTTATATGGTCACCATGTGAATTCCGACCTGTGCACCTGAAGTAAATAAGACGGACCAAGTTTTCTGAATCTTCCAGTCTACCTCCTTGGGAAAAAAGATCAACTGATTAAAACTGACAATCACAGGGCACTTGAACACTTATTTCCAAACTTTCCCATTATACCAAAGCAGGTGTGTGTGCAAAGAATACTTTTAGTATTCACCTCTCTAACCAACATATTTTAGTTACTCTGTGACCCATCCGTCAGAGTTTTCCTCATACCTACAGGGGGTGAGGGCTATGGAAGTTGCTCCCCAAATCTATGAGGCTTTCCCTGTTTGGGTGGCTTGTGCACGGTGTCCCCCCTCCCTTGAAAGCTGAAGTAAACAAACACGCTCTTCATTTTTTAGGCATATGCACGACGGCCCCTGCTGCAACACGGCAGCTTCTGCAAATGCCTATCCTGTGGGAGCTGAAGCCATTTTTAAATAATGCCTCTTGTACATACATGTATTATGTGTGTGCGTTTGACAAAAGACATCAAACCCAGTCTCCACAAAAATCAAATCAAAATAAAATAAATAAACACTCCAAAATGATTTTGTTTCAAAGGAAACTTAAAATGATCACTATCGTGAGGGTATGCTGATTTGCTGATTATTTTGATAGTTAGAAACCTTAAGCTTTGAAAGCAACTTGTATTTTCAAGTAATTCTTGTAACAATTTCTTATTCTTCAAAGACAAGTTCCGTATCCTTTTCCCCACGATATGCATTATCTTATTTTCCCCCTTATTCTCTACCTAAACATCAACAGGTCAATTTGTTTTTACTTTTAGGGTAAATACTCAGTTTGGGAGAAAACGGAGATTCAAACAAATTCCAAAAATTTATGATATCTATGTAGTCAGAAATTTTGTAGTTAATAACTCCCAAGAGTAATGTTCAAGTGTTGTTCACTTTACCTTTCAAAGGCGAATCTGAGATAACATGTCAAGTTTTAAAAACGACAAACTGTAACGTTAAGAAGACTGTTATTAGCTTTTTCATGAAGATACATTTCAGAAATAGTGGTTAGTGGCTTGTAAAATCATAGAAATTTGAAAACATGACAAATCATTCTCATAAATTCTCATACAGTTAATGTTCAGAAAAAGATAACCTTCTAGCAAGGAGATTCACCTATAAAAATACTAGAGTAGACATGACGTACTTCTTTTAAAAATCAAATGGGACACATGAGGCTTAACATTTGGGAGACTGTTAGGTTACATTCAATTTGACACTTGTGCTTTACACACTGTGAGAAACTGTTACACCTGAGGTCACTGCTATTCATAAAATAACAAAATATTTATTGGATACACTTAAAAACAATTTTCATCTAGGTAATTATCATCAACTCCGTGATATAAAATCAGATCAAAGGGGATAACTGCCTTGTTCTACCTTTGAGAAGCTAACAGTTGCATCTGCTCACTTATAAGAAGTATTTGTAGTATTCATTTTTCTGAATAACTATAAATTTGGTCATAATAATGAAATGATGCTATATAATTAAAAGTTACCATTTTTAAAAGACTTGCTTGCAGTAAATTGGAACATCTAAGATATTTCTTGCCTCTCTTTTTCTTAGATTATGTTATCTCTGATTTTGAAAAACGATCACCTTATTTCACATGTTATTTTTTCCTCTGCTATCTTTACTATAGATGACTTGTTAAGTAGAAATAATGGAGCATAGTCAGGGGCAACATAATTCCAGTATCTTGGAAATTAATGGCCAGTACTTTGAAGTAACAGCAGATCTGGGAAAAGGTGTGGTGGTTAAGCCCGGAACAAAGTTTTATAGCTAAGATTTCAATAACCCAGTTGACAACGAGCAGAAATACATAAGCTCTCTCCTTTCATGCATCTTGTGGGTTATTGAAACTTGGTATAGATTAACATATGGTACAATTCCCAAGAACTAAACAAATAAAGAAAGTTTAAGGAAAAATATTTTTAAATTTAGAAGAGAAAAAAATGAGAAAAGAAATAAGGAGAAGAAACTTAAAGGAGAAATAAAAAGGTCATAGATAACTTTGACTTGTAATTTATTAATCTCATTAAGAGATGACCAAGAAAGTAAAGCTTTGAAAATTAAAACCACAAATAAGTAAACTAAGCATTTGTACTAAAAGTCTAAAAGCCACTGACAAAACAAACCACAGTCTCAAACTGTTAAGGATACACTCATTATTAGCCTAGAATCTATAGAAAAAGTAGCCATCTAAGGAGTATGCACATGTGTAGAAGACATTTCAGTTCATTTTTCAGGATTTCCATTTCTGATCTTGTTACATGTTCATTATTTTATCATTTTTAAGCCACATGTAGAGAGAAGAATTATGTGTCTTTAATATTATTATAGATGCGAGGTGCCTGGGTGGCTCAATTGGTTAAGTGTTAGACTTTGGCTCAGGTCATGATCTTGTGATCCATGGGTTTGAGCCCCACACTGGGCTCTGTGCTGACAGGTAGAGATTGGAGCCTGCTTCAGATTCTGTGTCTCCCTCTCTTTCTCTCTGCCCCTTCCTTTATGCTCTTACTCTCTCTCTCTCTCTCAAAAATAAACATTAAAAAAAAACTTTAAAAAATAAATAAAATAAAATAAAATTACATTTCCCCATCTTATGATGATAACGAGTCTATTAAAAAATTGACTGTAGTTGTCATTAGGTAAATTTCTTTTGCCCAGTCCTTTTTTCTGTTTACATGGTTTTTTCTCAAATAAGCATACATATACGGGTATTAAAACTTACTAATATTCTCTTTCATGTAACTATTTCATATGA